TTACAAATATCCATTATTGAAGGCCATGGTCGATCACTGGGAAAGAGAAATCTTGCATTCAGTAATGCTTTATACATACCATGATGGCATAGATTGTAAGATTATTTAGATGCCATGGAGATTTGAATATGAAGAAAGATCAGTTCTAACGGACCTCTTGCTGGCTTTTTATATCACCAACCATGGTATTCTTCTGGACCACCTCATGGGCCTTGGGGGTGCTGTTCTGCAGTAATCCTCAGCCCTCTATAGCACAATCAGCATTCTATCTTGTCCTTCATGTTGTTTAATATCTACTTAGAATTACTGGGAGATATCTTTTTGGAGCTTTGTAAGAGGTTGAGAGATCGTTGAGGCCCCATCAGTGAGGGTGTTCAAAGATAGGTTGGACATGCACATGGTGGGCATGTTGTGAGTGGAGCTGGCTGGTGCTGGAGGTCAGACTAGATGGCCCGGGAGACCCCTTCTGACTCACTCTGTTTCTATGATTCAAGATGACACCAATATCCCAAGATCATCCAACTCCATTGCTCTTTGCCACCTATCACCATGGGAGCAACTGAAAACCCTTTAACATCGCCTGACTAAAATAATGTTCTGAATGAGGCTGAAGAAGTTGAAGTGAAACCTAGAAAAGGCAGAGGTGGTGCTGGCTGGCAGAAAGCCAGTCGAGATTCAACCTGTTCTGGAAGGGGTGTGCTCTCACTGAAGGATTGGGTTTGTAGCTCAGGTGTGTGTCCTCCTGGGCTGCCCCTGGATCTTCACGTCCCAATGGCAGCAAAGAGTGCATTAGCACATCTGCATTCCTTGGTTATATAACATTTGGACAACTGCAGTGAGAGCTATGTGAGGCTTCCCTTGAAGAGTGTCCAAAGGTTTCAGTTGATGCAGGTCAGCTAACTAACCAGTGGGGATTTTCATGACCATATTGCCCCATGTTCCAGCTGCTCTTGGGCTTAGTTGAAAGGTAAGATTTAGCTTACCTTTAAAGCTCTAAGTAGCTTAGGACCTGAGCTGGTCTTTCTCAACTTAAAGGTCTGCAGGAATGGACTTTTAGAGGGCACCATTACATACAGAGGTCTGCTTGGGAGGGAAAGTAGGGACATAGGAACATTTAGAAATCTATGCTATGTATCATCAATTGTCAGGTGCCTTTTGTCCCATGGAGACAAAAGTTTTAATGTGTTTAATGTTCTTGTTTTAATTTTCCCATTTTATTATTTTAAATTGTTATGAACTGACTTGACTTTTAGTAGGTACGCTGAATATAAAATGAATGATAAATAAATATATCCTGCCTTAGTAATTTAATAAAACTCTGATTTCAATCCTTATCAGTCCTGCAGAATCCATTCTGTGTTACTACTGTAGCACAATGTACATACTCAATATTAATTGTAAGGGCCCATAATGTAATTCTTTGCACAGACTGTATAAGTGAGAGAGGTAATTAAATTTTTCCTGTATGGGAATGCATGCATTTCAGCACATCTATATTCCTCTGTTTTGCCAAAATTGTATCATGCCATTTCTGCTTTTTAGCAAAGCAGCCAATGTTCTTATTCCTTTCTCCTGATTTTATAAAATTTGAGAAATGAAAACATGTTTATACACTGTTCTTTTATGTAAAAGAAAACTAGAAATCTTGGTAAATACAGGGTGCAATTAATCAGTGAACCATTCTTCACACTTTCATGCCAACATTATAGCATATGGAAAGGAATTCTTTTACAAACACATAAACACTGCTTTAATATACAGAATCTGACCATGTGTTTCCAACAATAGTCCCACACTATTCAAATATAAAAGGTCATCCTCTGCATCTCTAGGCATCAAGCACATAAATATTACACCAAAACTGTTCACACCCTTACATCTTTATTAAACTCTTTCCAAAGTGGGTGTTTTCTTTGACTATTTAGATACTATACAGATATCTTAAGTTTTTCCCATAAGAAATTCCTACTTCCTTTCCTTGATCTCCTATGAAATCAGACCTAAAATAAAAGGCACTTTTCAAAACCGTAATGCAAATGTTTAATATCCATTGCCTCCATGCATTGTATACCCATCATATGTTAAGATGAAAGAAATGTTCGATTTAGTTTTGAAAGAAAACTACTTTAAGCAGCAGTTCAGCTGGACATCTTTTTCCATCTCGTCACACCAATGATCCCTTCAAAGAATATATATTTTTGGGAGTAAACCAGTGATTTGTTAACAAGAGTAACAGTAAGCACCATTTACAGCAGGTGGTTGCATTATTTTAGCAGAAATGTAGTATTAGCCCAGGAAAGCATGAGGTTCCTCTCTATCCTCTTCTTTTTAAATGGGATTATTTTTGGTGGCCATTGCACACACTCTTCTGTAGAAGTATGATACCTTAATTTCTTTGCTTCCAAAATTATGTCTACTGAGCAGAGCATGACTCATGAGGAAAGACAGCAGAGCAGTTTCTCAGCATTGGTTTAAAGAAAAGCTTGCATTTCTCATCAATCATTTAAAAATCAAGACTTAAGTTGTTCATGCATACAAATTATTCCTTTTCGGAAACATAGTCCTAAACCAAACAAATGCTTCAATTATTCAGATTTTCACAAGATCCCAATTTAGTGCAAATAAACTACCAGACAACACGGAAATTTGCTTAGCATAATTACTGTCATTTACTATAATCCTAGCCTACACCCTATGCTTCTACTAAATGATTACAGCTACAGAACACATACTTAAGAAAGATAGAGTTCCGGTATGGAGCCATTCAGAGCAAATAGTACAACACATCTCCGAAGGAGTAATAGAATTAATACATTTCCTATGTTATGCTGTTGATAGTGATAGTCTTAGCAAAAACCACAGGAAAGTACTAAGGAATTGTGGAGGAAACAATGGGCTGCTGTAATATGGATTTCCCGCAAGAGCAGCCCCACCAGAATGGGGCATAAAGAGTCCAAGACTGGTAACAGAGGGAACACAGAGGCTCTGCTCTACACTAACACAGGTGGCCTGCCTCTCTGTGTATCTTTGCCAAACCGAGCTATTCCACACAGCATCCACAGCAATGGATGGCCAGAAATAAGAGAGCACAAAAAAACTACCATCCCAATATATTAGTGAATCCATCTTGAATCACAGAACACCATCAAAATACAATCTGAAGCAAAATATCAAACTAAAGGCAACAAAACTCCTAAACTTCAGAAAAAAACTTGTGTAAAAGTAACTTTTTTTATTATGACAGGATGGCCAGACCCGCTCAATAGAAAAACCACACATGGTAAATGTTGGAGGTTTGAGAGCCGCAAAGAGATGCCCATAGGTGGTGGCAGGTGGCAAGCAGCAAGTGGGTGCCCACGGGTGCCCCATGTGGCAAGCAGAGAGCCACAAAATTAACTCAAAGAGCCACATGTGGCTCCAGAGCCGTGGTCCCCTAGCCCTTTATAATGTGCCCTGTGTCTTGGGCTCAGATCGGTTTCCACTAAGAAAGAAATGTGACAGGGTCAAGGCCACAATTAGTATTACATTATTATGTATTCCATTAATGCCTCACATTTTCCCTCCTGCAAGGACCCCAAGGCAGTTATAAGGTTAGATGTCCATTCAGTTTGTCTACTTTTCCCTCTGCTCCTTGTAGAGGACTGGGAGCCATATAAAATGAACCAATGACAATCCAATTTGGGATGTGGGGAGAATGATAGAGATAATTCCAATGCTACACAACTTCTTAAAACACAGATGTCTAGGATGTGTCCAGTTAGCAGACCTGTCATGAGCTTCTTTCAGCTACTTGTGTTTAAAAAGTTTAAAATAATTGTCGTCTACCTGACAACTCCTTGCACACCAGCATTTCACACATTTGCCTTCAGTTTTTTACGAAACTGAATATGCCAGCCATTCCTAAGCAAAGTGCCTAAATGCTTTAAGTAAAAGAAAATCCGGGCACAATGATTCATAGGGCGCATGCCAACCCTTCTAACTCTATTATTTTACAACTGGCATATCCTGGCCGTGCAATTAGTAATGAGTTCCTAGCTAAAGACTGTACGACAAACCCAGATATTGTCCAAATGGATCCCCTGAAATAAATGGGATTTACATTCTTGTTAGATTTGGATGCAACTTGGATGCTCCCCCTATAGCTGTCATCGCTGTGTCCCATTAAGACTAATGAAACAATTTAGCTGTGGCTAACATTATGCTTCTCTGTTTTCAGTGGGACTTGAAATGCATTCCTGCATGCATCTCGTGAAAAGCAAAACTAGGTATGATTGGTTGCAAGCTATACTGTCTTATAATTAGGCTGCTAAAAAACTATTTTGGTTGTTGCTGTTCAGTAGCAAAGTTGTGCCCGACTCTTCGTGACCCCCTGGACAACATTCCTCCAGGTTCTCCTGTCCTCCACCATCCCCCGGAGTACATCTAACCCCACACCCACCTCCCCAGTGACCCCATCCAGCCACCTCAACCTCTGCCATCCCCTTCTCCTTTTGCCTTCAATCCTTCCCAGCATCAGATAAAACTGGTTTATACAGTATATGAAGTAATACACTATCTTTCAAACTTGTTTTGACAATTTCTCATCCAATTTTAGGAAGTGTAGTGCATTTTATGTTACAATATTTAACAAATGATGTATTATTATTTTTAGCTGGTTAAACAAACATTTTAATAAAAACAATTATGTAAAATATCAGATAACCAACCTTTCCACTTAATCAAACTCAGATAACTAAACAAAGCAAAGATTTCTTATTATGGTTGATAATAATTATTGTTATTACAATTATTATTATAATAATAGTTATTCAACCATAATACTTTCACATATATTGAAAAATAATATGGTTACACCTTTGTTAATTATATGCAAAAACCATTTCTGACTGAAATTCTGACATTACCAGAGGCTGGTATTTTGCGATTCATGTTTGCTCCAAACTTTTGCTTTAAAAGAAGATTAATGACCTAATTTCAAATAAAAGTTTGATTTTACTTACTCCCAAAATTCCATAACTGGAGAAGTAGCATTCTGCAAATATTGTTGCGTGCAATTGCTCATATTAATTTTTTGAAATTCCACACAATGCTCTGTAAAAGAACAAAAAAAGTTGCAACAATTGTCTTAAACTTTCAAGTTACTTGATTACTTTTAGGATTGTGGCTACAAAGGTTTGAAAAAAATGCTATTATGACTTTTGATTTCAAATAAAATAGTCCTTGTCATGAAATTTTTTTGTTTCTCTTATTCAAACTGCAATAAGAGACCCATTTTCTGGATAGTAAAAATAGACTGTGAATTGCTCTGATCGTTCAGGAATTAATACATTCAGTTCAATTCCCAGTGACTATCCCAGCCTTGGGAATCACTTTCTACCAACAGCATCTTAACAACAATCTTAAGATGGCAAATGAGAAAACTACCATTTGGCACAGTGTTATCTCTGGCTTCAGAGAAACAGTGGAAAGAGATCAAAGCTATTTTCCATTGTAGAGCTGACACATACTTTTGGACAGTCTTCAGTATTGGCTAAGTGTTCCTGAGCAGATGCCAACACTGACAGTCCAGTCCTATCATCTCCGATGGACTTGACTGAAGTCTTTTAATTTAGCCATGCATCATAGATCTGAATAAAAATCTGGAGTTGTTCAAGGAATCCAAGGTACGGATAGAAAATAACAATTCTTGCACCAATTAAAACTACAGCGATTAAATTAAAGTGAAACACATCTCATTTAAAACATTCCAAGCTTCTTTTCAGATTCAGTGCACTAATTTAATGTTGTCTTTTCCTTGAACTGCCAAAAAGCTTTTTTTCTTAATAAGGGGAACCCAAGGGAACATTGTTCTGTTAGATACAAAAACGGCTTCTTGAAGAAAAAAATGTCTGTAATTCCAGTGCACATGTAGTAGCCTCTTTGAATCCAATCTTTCCATTTTCACATTCACACAACTTCCAGCTACAGAGTTGAATAATCCAAATGTTACTAGAGATGAGCATTTGCTCAGTGAAAAACCAGTATCATAATGTTAAATTAACCTTGGCCCATGATGTTATATTGTGGCAAACTTTATTACTGATGAACTTGGTTGTTGTTTTTTTAAAGGAAAAGTGTAAGTTGTTTTAAAGTTTAAAATTAGCCAAAATATGTATACATAAAATAAACACACGAGACTCCAGGATGAAAAACTTAAATAATATACCCTTTCTCAATTGCTAATTAACTAATTATTAACACACAATGCTGCATGTTATTTTTCAAAGTGATGTATAGATATGACATTAGTCATTTTAAAATAATAATTTCTAATGCTTAAAAGGAGATAAGAAAAACAATTTTGAGTCAAGATTTAAATACATAGCTTTGATTTATAATTAACATTAATTACTGGAATTCATGTTTTCTACTATAAAATTTGAAAAGTGAAGCTAATTTCCACCATCATACTGTTAATGTTATAAACATTTAATTATGGAATGACTCCCTCATCCATGTTCTTTCAGTGCATTAATGGAGACAATACCTTCACGGTGCCCATACCTGTGTTCCATTCATGCCCACAGGTTGCCCAGGGAAGTTCCGTAGTAAAGCAGTTAAACAGGTAAAAGATAGCCCAGGCTAAAATGATGATGTAGTAAACATTCAAATGTGCTTCAATAACCTGGGTAGCATATCCAATACCTGCAAACAGCAGAGAGACAGATGCTTTCAACTCTTTTAAAGAAAATAAAATAAATCAGGTGTGAAACTAGCTGTTTCTTCAAGTCCGAATATTCTCAGCTCATGCTCGTTCCAGTTCCTGCCACCGAAATGAAAACAGTATTGGAACATGCACATCCACGCTGTCCATGATAACTGATTTGGGGGATCCTTGAACAAAGAGGTTAACCTGGGTTGTGAAAGGAAAGAAGGCTGAAGCTGTATCCTACCATCCCCAAACTTTGCAAAGGTTTAAGTGAGTATGTTGCATTGGAAAGTAAGCACATAAAACACCCGAAAAGTTTATCTTTAAGGACTCTCTCACAGCCCTTGTGGGGACACATTCTAAACTAAAAACAGTAATACCAAAACATTAAACTGGTATTTATTCCAAGTTTTATAAATGCTTTGTGTGCATCATCTGACTGTAAGGTAAGTTAGCTTCACACTACTGAAACAGAGGAAGGAAACTGAGGCTGTGGTTTGTCTAAGTCTATTCACTGCATTCTTTTATTTTAATGTGCAAGTTCTGCTCCTAACTATGGTGCTGCACTTGCCATTTGGAATTTGGATACAAAAGGGATCAGTAGGCTGCAAAATACTGTTGCTGATGAAGAAATTAAAAAATATTTATTTCATGTGTACAATGAAAAATGTGTGTGTCCACACACACAGGTAAGGAATATAGAACTGTACCTTCAAACAGTGGACAAACTTTTCTCCAGCAGGTAATGCCACCTTCACTTGTGAACTGTCCAAGGGCTGTTTCGAGGAAAAACACTGGTATTCCACAGCAAATAAAGAAAATCACATAGGGTATAAGAAAAGCACCTGAAAGCAAGCATTGCACAAGGATTACTTAGTTTATATCTAATTCTTTAAATATAAATTAGTTTCATTTTATGTATGCATTCTGCCTACAGAATCATTTTCTGGTCTTACTTCAAACAATACTTTCTTGTAGGTAGCATTACAGATGCAAAAGAATATCTGTGCAAATCAAGATGCACCAGAGTCTTTCTTTGGCCTTGAATGTTCAAGATCCATGTTTGTCAGGCTGACTTTAATCGACAACTGATCATTAAATTCACAATACTCTTGGAATTCCAGCCCCGCCTCCAAAGTGTACATGATTTTGTACATAAGAGCATTAAAGCTACTCACAGGACAAAGACATGTGTAGAAAGCTGTAAAATATCAAGGCAGCTGAAGACTATACAACCATCACAAGTTTGATGTCTATCCTGCTATGTCCATCACCAGGGCATTAGCGTTAACTCAGTGTAGGTGTTGAAGTGACAATGTTTCTGCAGATTCGGTGAGTTGTTTAATAACATGAAGCTGAAGTGCTGTGACAGACACTCTACCTTATCACATCATAAACAAAACTCTGCCTGCCTCTGGTATCTACATGAGCCAGCATGTGTCTATTCAAAGGAAGCCCCAGTGGCTTCCATGAGACTCACTCCCAGATGAACATGTGCAGGATTGCAATCTTGATCCCATGTTATCAAAGGAACTAACAATGCCTTGCTAAGCACCGGCGCAAGTGCCACCGGCGCAAAGCTGGAATGCAGCATAAGATTACATATGCAATCTTGGGATGTCACTAACAGTGCCATCTCTGGGGAAAGACTGAGTCATACGTTTTATTGCATACACTATCTTCGGAGGCTTCCTTACTTAAAAGCAAGCTAAAATTGGTTTCAAATCAATAACTAGAATTGGTAAGGTATTTAAACCCAGTTCGCAGCCCAGTTAACCCTAATTTGTTTGGTCCATAAACAATCCAGGGGTTCTGGGTTTGCATATCACAAAACACCTTTGAAAGAGCTTTTCTTGGGTTGTTAATTGAAAGTGGAAGCAACAAGTCTACAGTTCACATGCTGCACCCATACCCACAATTCTTGGGTTAAACAACCCAGGAACTGCTGTCCTGATGTGCAGACACAACTTTATGCTGCAATCCTCTGCATAGTAGCCTGGGAGTAAGTCTCACTAAGTTCAACAGGACCTACGTCTGAATAGGTATGTGTGGCACCACAAACCATCAGTTTGCATGTTTACACATTCCTTCAATACTAGAAGAGTGCAAAAATAGTATGTGGATGCTTAGAATATGAAGGCCCATTCGATGTATTTTCCCATGGACCAAGCAGAAATCATTCCCCATGGACACATGTTTGTGCCCCCATGGGAAGCTCAAGTGTTACAGCACTTAAAGCGAGTTCCCCTGAAAGTCAGTGGGGTAACTTGAAAGTAAAGCATTACTTTTTATGGAAAATCTAACAACTAAATGCATAACTAGTTAGGTTGAGTTATAAAATGAAACTATTACAATATTTTTATATATTTATCAATTAAATAGTTAACTTGGGAAACTGGTTAGCTGGTTTTAAAGTTAGCTCTAAAATAGTAGTGTATTATCTTTTATTTATTCAGTATGGCAGTACTGCATAAAAAACAACTTCTATTACATAGTAAATTGTGAATAAATTGGGTAAGTATAATTGTTCTAACAAATAAACACTTTTTAATCAACACTGAAAATGATTTTTATTTAAAATTATTGATGTTCATTTTAAAAAAATCAATAACAAATATATGCAACTGGTAAAGATGTGTTGGATGAAGGGAATAAATGTCATCCAGTGACTCTGAGGAAGAGAATTTAGTTCCACAACTGATATTACTGCCTCCGCATCTTATCTATATGATACATCAGTGAACCTTAGCAACAATGATAACAAACATTCCAGAAACATATATTGGAATAGATATCAATATTTAAATACATTTAATTTACAAAAACACAGCAGCTTTTAGACAAACTGTTTAATTTTGCAAATATTGCAAAATCACATTGGGAATTTTCTATCCACAAACCTCTTCTACTCTTGTCTATACTTGTGGAATAGTTCCCTTTATGACCTGTTGATACACTGTGTTTCCAGGTTTCTCAAATACAACTTTCTGGTCATATTCTAGATAAAGAAAACAACACTATCTTGTCAGAAAGTATAAACTCCTGAACACAAAGGAAGAGGGTGCAATCCTCTATATGTTAGACCAAAAAAAAAAGGATTACTATTGTCAGCAAGTTGGTTGGGAGCTGTAGGGCTTTCTCCTGTCTAAATATGCATAGAGTTGATTCCTAAAAGACAGGGATGCTTCACAAACTGGAACTGAATTAAGCCTTAAATGTAAGAGTATAAATGAAAATACTGGAAGGTGGGGGAGGGGGGTTACAAACCAGTGAATGGAGAACAACCAGCTTAATTGAATGCTGCTGATCAAGCACTATCTTCCCAAGCATGCCATTTGTCGCAACTAAGAACATCTGCTTTCCAGAACTGCTTAAAATCTCAACCTACTACTCTCATCAAAATGATGTTCCATAGGTAAAAACCTTTTTTCCAAAAGTGCTTTCCAAAAGCTGCATCACTAAGAATACTCAGAATCAGTACTTATATCAAAATGAATGTTCCTCTGTATTCCAATAAGGTATCGTGTAACAGTTTGCAACATGCCTGAGCAAAAACACACACTCAACCACTATCACAAAGCAGGCTACAATAAGCATATGAACAAAAGAAGAGATACTCTGCCTTCTAGCACCCATGAGAACTATGTAAGAAAAGACACAGACAGGCTGCCTTGTGATCAATACAGAACTCTGCCTAATTGAAGTCTCCTAGATAGAATCATCAAATCAAGCTTTTTTTCCCACTTAATGCCCTGATCTAAGCAATAGAAATAGAGTGTATTTTTAATCGTATGTATTATCCATTCTCATTATCCATTAATATAATATTTCCTGAATAAAATTAACTGATAAAATTAAATTCTCAGTGTATCAAACACCGCATTAATCACTGAAAAGCAAGCCAAATGAATACTAGAAAACTTAATTGTACCATTTTAACTTGCCATTTCTTATTTTACCCAGACAAATATAAGTGAAGGAGTTCACAGTGGCTGGTTGGTCATCTAGCAAAAAAAGACTTGTCCAGTTTCTTCACCAACATAGAACAAAAATGGCATGAGGAATTTCCTAGCTTTGTACACGGGCTGCCTAACACACTACTTTTTTCATGTTGTTTTACATGTTGCTTCATCAGTTCAAGACCGATCCATGTTGGCAGCATCCAGACTGCAGAGCAAGGTTACGGGTATCTGTTCACAAATCTTTTAAGCACCAGAAGAGAAAAATGTGCCATAAGTATCTGGGGGCTCAAGTCAGCATTTCCCAATGTGATGCCTTCCGTATGTGTTACTCTTCGGCTCCCACCTGCTCCAGCCTGCATGGCCAACAGTCAACAAGGCTCAGTGTTGTCTGCAGGACACCACATTGGGAAAAGGAGGCTTGCGGTGCTGCCTCACCTCTTCCTTTCAGCGCTGAAACACTTCTGTCATATCACGTCCTAGTCACAATATGACATGGGAAGATGCTCTTTAAGAAATGATCCAAACTCCCCACTTGGACATAGTGACCTAGTTGCATGGTTGTGCCTTGAAGCTCGAGTCTTTCCAAGTCTTTCTTACAAGACCAAACACGCTCTCATTGAGGAGCTCACACTGGTTCTGCTAAATGCCTACAGCATGTGTTTATTTCTGATTGGCCATTTTTCCTCAGAAGCCATACCTTGCAAGACACATTTGTTCACAGCTGCCAAGTATGCATGTAATGATGCAAAGAACACCAAAACTATTTTGCATTCATACTCTAAGATAGTTCATTCTTTCTTGAGCTGCATTTAGACCTGCTTCACAAGTCTAGGTTCTGATGATTATTTAGAATTTGCAACAGTATGTCCCTTCATTGCCTTAGAAACCTTTCTCTCTTTCCATTACTCATATAAGCACTGCCATGCTGGGAGAATGCAGCAGTCCACCTAGTTCAAGATCCTGGCCAAGATCCAAAGAACCCTGCAATCAGTTCTGCACACCCTGACTTGTTGTTCTCCAAAAGCAGGTCCTACACTGAAAAATGCTATTGGAACAGCTTCCAAAACATTTGAAGAAATATGGCACAGTGAACATGTACTGTCCATAGAGGGAGAAAACGGAACATGCAACCGCACTCTCAATCTCTCCCTGAGTGTTCCGAGCATTCAGAGATCTCCTTCACATTATGGACACAATCTAGAACAGGGGACTTATTTAACAGGCTAAGATGTCTGCACTTAATTATGTGCTGAGTTGTGGCTCATGTTAAATATCTAGATATGGTTACAGCTAATGTGTTGCTGCTGCTGCTGTTATATACCATTAAGTTGTGTTCAACTATGGGAACCCTATTAAAGAAGGCCCTACAAAATGTCCTATACATGACATGGCAGCTCTTCTAAATTCAAGGCTGAAGCTTCCTTTATGGAGTCTATCTATCTCATATTTGGTCTTTTCTTCTTCTTAGCCTTTCCCTAGAAGGAATGTCTTCTCCAGCAAGTTTTGCCTTCTCATGACATGCCCCAGAAGTATGACAGCCCTTGCTTTCATATAGGACCCACTTGTTCATCTTTCCAGGTTATTTGTAAAACTCCCCTTCAGCACCACTTAGCTTACGACCAATCTAAATCATCAATTTTAAAAGCCATTTAAAGTAGTTGGCCATCATACCAGTCTATGGAAATGAAGGTGATATCAACTTAGTTTATAAAAGATAGGGGCACACATCAAAGAAAATATTTTTTTATGATCCCATGCCAGCACTTTAGAAAGTGATTCAACTCCCCTCAGATCACTTCGGGCACAACCCAATTGAGCTCAAGTCCAAAGCCAAACCCTACTTCAGAAATCCAAGGGTTTGCATGTCTCCCCAAACAGGAGAATGAACAAAGTGCAATCATGTTTTTATTTATCAACAGAATTAGCCAGGATTTAAAGGGTCACCTGTGTGTTTAAGGGGATGCCTATAATTTTGTAAACATTTCTTGGCAAAATGGAATGAAATCTGCAATCATAGGAACAGGGCCTGTGAAATTTCAGACAGATAAAGAATAGTGCAAATGTGGTCTTTACAGTTTGGCAGGGAAGTAATCTGCTCTCAATATAACTAATACATAATGCCTTAACTAGGATACCTCTAGTTAAGTAGCCTGCAAAATGTCAGAGGGATAGGTACAGAACTGTTCATGCAAGAAGAAACTTTAAAATTTGGCAGAAAGGGATTCACTCCTCCCTGTGGCTTTTTGTTGGCAATATGTATGAGAACAGAGATAAGTAATCTGCACAATTTCTAAAGTGTAGGTTATGGAATTACATTAAATGAAAATCTGTGTGAGGGGTTTCACAACTGACACCAATTGATAGTTTTAATCTATATGCCCCTAAAAACTCTGATTGAAAGGTTTTTTAAAAATGAGAACCCAGTGGATAAATTCCCAGGTTGAACACTAGAGTCATCAATCAAAAAACTCAACCAGCCACTTTCGCCACAGTCTAACATGTTCCTTTTACAAATAAGTTGTAAAGAAAATGTATCAATTTGGAGCCTAATGTAGCAGTGTTTTTCTGAATAGTTGAAGACTTCAGGACAAGCCTTCACTTTGGATCCTGGAAGTCCTTAATCGCTTTGGGAAAAGCCTGGATCCTTCTGAAGCAAACTGCTTCAGTTCTGGATTTAGGCTTCATCAGAAACAAATGCAGATCCCAGAGTAAAACCAAAAATCAGAATTGAAGTGACTCTTCTAAACACATTTCCTTTTGATTAAGGGATTCTTCCAGATAAGTTCTTAATTGTTCAATTGCACCACATTCTTCACAGAATTTTAGGTAGGGCCAAACAGTATGGTTTTTAATTTGTAGTTCTCCTGTTTCCCTGCTTGTTTTTCCATCCTAACTTCTTATCAGAAAGTATTAAAGAAGAAAACACGGAATAGCTACAATACTGTTCTAGTATTAGCAATAGGCACCCTCCATCTGGAAGCACCCTAAATCCTATTACATTTAGAAGGGCTTATTTTCAAATAGGCTTACAAATAGACTATGTATGTATGACTTGAAGTATACCTATGTCCCTATAACTACTATAGATAAGAACTGGAAAAAATTGAAATGCTAATATGAATACTACTTTACCTTGTTATAATATCAAAGGGTCCACTAAGCCCTTAAAGGGTGACAATTGTGTTCTGTGGCACAAACTTTTGCAGTCAAGACTCTTATGCTGTCCAGATGCTGGATTGTCCTCTATTTCACACACTCACAGAACCCTACAGTCAACACGCTGTCTTCCTTCATTGTCCACCATCCTCATCTATCAAAGTATGGTTTTGCCTATAAAAGGTCTTGTCACCCTACAGGTGTTTTTCTCTATGGTCTCATTGCTAGAACAGGCAGACATGGATTTTCTTGGGTTTTCCAAAATCCCAAGAATAAAATTCTTAAAATCTATAACATTCCCTAATGATAAGCTTTAGGACAAAATACCTGGCTGGGAGCTACAACTCAGTTGTACAATTTAAAGAAGCATTTTTTTAAGGCATTGTATGAACCTATGCCGGGCATGATCTCCAATCTACTCAAGCCCATACACCTGTGTTTACATCAGTCTCTGCCTTAATCGATATATCTACCAGAGTCTGAATTTCATCCCACAGACTGAGAGATATGCACATCACACCTGCCTGAAACCTGACATATCACAATGCAAAGCCTTCCCCTCACATGAGGCACATTGCCACCTCCTTCCCCCACCCTTTTGGCAGGTTCTATAGCACGTGCAAGCTATGAATTTATACAAGATGCCATCTTACCTCCTCCATTTTTGTAGCAGAGATAAGGGAATCGCCACACATTTCCCAGCCCAATAATCTCCCCTGCCACAGAGAGCACAAATTCAACCTTATTGTTCCAGTGGCCTCTTTCATGCACTTTCTTGTCGTTGCTGTGCACCAAGTTGGTACTGGAGGCTTCAGGGTCCAGAGCATCCTCTGGCTTCCCATTGATTATGGGAATACTCTTTTCAGCAGTCATGATTCTTTCCAGCCTGAAAGAGAAGAGAGGAGGAGATGTATGTGTGCATACACATGGGAGAGAGAGTACTTGAACCTTCCGGCGCCCCTTTCTACCCTGACGACAAATCGTTTGCTTTGCATCACCTGCGTTTCACGAAAGGTCTACAAGTGCAGAGGATGCAAAGTTTGCAAGCCCGTGCAGACTGCTGCTGCCGTGCTTGTGCAGCGAAGCAGACTGCGGAGTTAGCGCAGAAATGAAGGCAGCCAGCGCCGCGCTCTTTCGGCTGCTCGAAACGCCAGTTCTGCAAGCGCGGCTGCCAGGCATGCCCGGCGCTGCCCGGCTGCCTCCTGCGTGTCTCCAGGCGAATATACGGCGGGGAGGGAGGCCGGATCCTGCCACCAACCGCTACTCACCCAGGACTCTGCCTGCGCTGCGGTTGAGAGAGCGAAGAGCTCGGGGCTGGCGCTGGGCTCGCGTCGGGAACCGGCCCTTGGCGTTGCCTCTGCTCGTCCTCGTTGCACTGAAGAGTGAGGAAGGGGATGCAGAGGCGAGGCGGGCGAGGCGCGGCGAGCGCCCACGGCGGAGGCGGCAACAGCAGCGAGGGGGAAGGCTCGTGATAGGCAGGCAGGGACGTCTCCCTGTCCGCTGTTGCCGCCTGGCTGGAAGGGCTGCTGGCTGGATGGCTCCGGGCTAGCCACACGGCCGAGGGGGATCTGCAACCGCGCAGCCTGCTGAGGAAGCGCCCAGCACCCGCCCCCTCCGCCAGCTCTCCCGCCTTCTCTCCTCCCCGCTCGGGCGCCGGGAGAACGGCGCGGCCTGAGCTCCACCTCCTAATAAACGCTCGTGGCTGAGAGGAAGCCCCCTGCTCAACCTCCCCTCTCCTCCCGCGGCCACCCCACGCCTTCCCCCGCTTTCGGATGCCTGCCTGAACCGCCTGCACCCGCCTCGATGTCGGAACACGTGTCCGGAGCAAAGGGACGCTCGACTGGCACGGCCATGTCCAAGGAAAGCAAGCACCCATCGAGGCGGTTTGGCAGCGAGCAGCGAACGGCCACCCCTTGCCCTTTCCCGTGCCCTGCAGCAGGGCTGGAGAAGTGGACACCCTGCCGGGACGCCCGCTCGCGTTCTTCCCATCCGAGAAGGTAGGACCGCAACAGCCCTGCTGGATCAGGCCGAGCAGGCGGTTCACCCAGGGGCCAACAAGCAGGAGATGCGTGCCACAGGAGCTGGTCTGCACAAGCACGCTGCCTCCGGTAATGGAGGTGGCAAAAGGCCCTTAGGACTCCGGTAGCCACTGACCGCCTTCTCCTCCATGAGAGCCAGCCACCCTGCTCCTTTGAGTTGAGCAGCAAAGTGTGCAACCAGGGAAGACAGTTGCTGCTGCTGCTGCCCTCTCTGGATCCACTGGGTTGGCCTCAGCGAGACAGCCTGGTAGAACAAGCTAGCCTACAGGCCATGCGTTCTTCACCCCTGATATCCTGGAAGAGCAGGGATGGGAAACCTACCAGAGATGGGCCATGCTTTATGTCAAAGCAGTCACAGTATAAAATGAACTAGAAACCCAAACTAAAGTACAATACAATGGGACAGCCTCCTGGAATGGGATCGGGAAATAGAATCGGGCATCCAAAAGAAATTGTGATATACTAATGCATGACCTCAATAACCCTCACATAGAGTGGGCAAGTGTACGTTCAGGCCATAACAATGAGCTAAAATTTTTAAATAGTGTCAGTGACAGTGCCCTGGAACAGTTGATCATGGAACTGACCAGAGGGAAAGCAGATGTGCATTTAATTTCAAGTGACTTCCAGGTTCTAGTAGAAGATGTGAGATTTCTTAACCAGTTGGAAACCAGTGACCACATTGCAATCAAATGTCATTTATATGTACTCAGGAAATTTCTGATAAAGGCTAACATGGTCACATCTGACTTCAAAAACAGAAACTTTGCTAAAATAAAGGGAATAGTTAAGAAAAGGAAGGAAGGAAGGGAAAGACGGGGGTCAAACCTCACCAAAATGCTTGCACTTGCTCCAAAACTACCAAAAAAAAAAAAAAAAAAGCTCCAGTAGAATCAATATCATATCACTGGAATAGTAAGACAAAATCTAAGAAGTTAGAAGGAATGTTTATCAAGCAGTATTAAGGAAGCTACTGGAGAAAATAAGGGTTACTGCAAATGGAAGTGTTGCTCAAATTCCAGAACAAAAAGTAACAAACTTGCATAAAATCAACACAAGTAGATAAGAGGGTATCCAAAAATGGATTTTGACGAGTACATGGCTGGCAACAATAATGCCAACAATAAAAGCATCACATATGGACTGATGGGTTCTGAGCTCATCATGACTGGAAAGTTCTGGAAAGTAGTTCAGTGAAAAGATTGCTCTGATGTGCAGTGGCTGTGAGAAAAATGGTTAATGCCATGTTAAAGGATCTGAATATAAAACTACCAATATCTTACTGCATTTATACAAATCTGTGTGGAATACTATGTAGAGTTCTAATCACTAAACCCAAAAAAGAACTTTGTAGTACTGAAGAAGCAATAGAAAATGTCAAAGTAAAATTACCAGAGGACTGGACTATCTCCCATGTAAGGAAAATAAAGGATTTTCAATGTGTATACACACACCAAAAAAAGGCAAAAGCATGGCAAAAGTGTACAAAATTATACATGTTGTGGAAAAAGAAAGAGGCTACAAATTATGGTACTAGAACCTAGTGGGGTCATCCCCTAGTGCTGATTGGTGGGACAAATGGAACAGATGAAAGGAAGGGCTTCTACACCCAGCAGATAATTAAAATATAGAACCATTAAGAAAGCTTTGGTTGTGTGGCAGAAGTGTAATTAATAAGCATATGCAAGCACAACTGAATTCACTAGTATATATAGTGGCCACAAAGTGGATGGCTTTAAAAGAGACAAATTCATTGACAAGAAGGTTATTAATGGCTATAAGACATAATGGTATACAACATAGTTCCTCATGTATGGGGAACAAGAGTGGGAGTTTGCCATTAAACTCATGGCCTGATTGTTGGCTTCTCTGTTTATCAGTATTGGTATGAATAAGAGTAATAATAATGTAGTACACATCTGGTTGGCCACTGTTGGAACAGAATGATAGCTAGGCCTTTGAGCAGATCCAGCAAAACTTGTCTCCTGTAATAGAACCCAATGCATATAGATCTCTTTCACATGAAGGATGTTGTTTGTTTGGAAAAGCTCTGTGATCCCCTTCGTGGATCACTGCCTTGGCATGGAGAAGGGGCTTATGTAGCTCAATGAAGCTATGAGCTATGCCGGGCAGGCCCACCCAAGACAGACAGGTCATAGCGGAGAGATCTGACAAAAGCAGAAGGAGAAGGAAATGGCAACCAACTCTAGTATCCTCGCCATGAAAACACCAGGGACGGAATCAACAGGCAAAGAGATATGATGCTGGAAGATGAGCCAGAAGGTGTCCAGTGTGCTGCTGCAGAAGAGTAGAGGGCTGGTACTAGTAGCATCAGAAAGAATGAAGTGACGGGGTCAAAGCCAAAAGGACACTCATTTGCAGATGAATCTGGTGGTGAAAGGAAACCCCGATGCTGTAAAAAACAATAGTGCACAGGAATCTGGAAAAAGATCTATGAATCAAGGTAAGTTGGATGTATTCAAACATGAGATGACTAGACTGAACATTGACATCTTGGGAATCAGTGAACTAAAATGGACAGGAATGGGTGAATTTAATTCTGATGACCATCATGTATACTACTGTGGGCAAGAATCCCCCAGAAGAAATGGAGTAGCCATCATACTCAATAAAAGAGTAGGAAAAACAGTACTAGGGTACAATCTCCAAAATGACAGAATGATCTCAGTTCGAATCCAAGGCAAACCATTCAGCATCACAGTTGTCCAAGTCTATGCCCCAACCACTGTTGCTGAAGAGGCTGAAGTTGACCGGTTCTAGCCTACAACACCTGCTAGAAATAACACCAAAAAATGATGTCCTTATCATCATGGGGGATTGGAATGCTAAAGTGGGAAGTCAAAAGATAACTGGAAAAACAGGCAAGTTTGGCCTCGGAGTACAAAATGAAGCAGGGCACAGGCTAACAGAGTTTCATCAAGGACATAGCAAACACTGTTTTCCAATAGTCCAAGAGACGACTCTACACATGGACATCACCAGACAATCAACACCAGAATCAGATTGACTATGTGCTCTGCAGCCAAAGATGGAGAAGCTCTATACAGTCAGTAAAAACTAGACCAGGAACTGACTGTGGCTCAGATCATGAGCTTCTGGTTGCAAAATTTAGGCTTAAATTGAAGAAAGTAGAGAAAAGCACTAGGCCACTCAGGTATGACCTCATATTCCTTATGAATAAACAGTGGAGGTGACAAATGGATTTAAGGGTTTAGATCTGATAGACAGGGTGCCTGAAGAACTATGGACATAAGTTCACAACATTATACAGGAGATAGTAACTAAAATTGTCCCAAAGAAAATGAAATGCAAGAAAGCAAAATGGCTGTCTGAGGAAGCTTTACAAATAGCTGAGGAAAGAAGGCAAGTAAAAGGCAAGGAAGTAAGGGAAAGATACACCGAACTGAATGCAGAATTTCAGAGAATACGTAGACAATTTAAGGCCTTAAATGAACAATGCAAAAAAATAGAGGAAAACAATAGAATGGGAAAGGCTAGAGATCTCTTCAGGAATATTGGAGCTATGAAGCTATTTCATGCAAAGATGGGCATGATAAAGAACCAAAATGGCAGGGGCCTAACAGATTAAGAAGAGGTGGCATGATTACATGGAAGAACTATACAAGAAAGAGCTTAATGTCCCTGATAACCATGATGGTGGTATCACTGATCTCAAACCAGGCATCCTGAAGTGTGAAGTCAAAAGGGCCTTGGGAAGGCTTAGCGACAGCAAAGCTATGGAGGAGACAGTATTCCAGCTGAGCTATTCAAAATCCTAAAAGACAATGCAGTAAAAGTGCTATGCTCAATATTCCAGCAAATTTGGAAAACTCAGCAGTGGCTACAGGATTGGAAAAGGTCAGTTTACATTCCGATTCCAAAGAAGGGCAATGCCAGAGAATGTTCAAACTACCGCACCATTGCACTCATTTCACATGCTAGCAAAGTTATGCTCAAAATCCTATGTGGATTGAGAACTACCAGAAGTACAGGCAGGGTTTCGGAGAGGCAAAGATCAAATTGCCAAGATACTTTGGATCATAGAGAAAGCTAGGGAGTTCCAGAAAAACATACTTACAGCACTAACTTCGCTAAAGCCTTTGATTGTGTGGATCACAACAAATTGTGGCAAGTTCTTAAAGAGATAGGAGTACCAGAACATCTTATTTGTCTCTTGAGAAACCTGTATGTGGATCAAGAAGCACCAGTGAGAACTGGACATGGAACTACTGATTGGTTCAAAATTGGGCAAGGAGTATGGC